TAAAGGCTCACAATGCGCATCCAAACGCTAATTTCTCCAGTACTAGACTAGCAAATACTTCGTGTCATGCATAATCACACTACATTATGACAAAATAAACTCTAGTTGCTCCCATTTCACTGCGTGTTTGCTTAAAACCCACAAGAAAGAGGTAAGAAAACTGGCATTCTGGCGCAAACGCCGACTGTTTGCCAAACAAAATAGCCTCGAAGTGGTGACGTGACGTCACATGTTTTTATCTTTGCTGCGCCCGTACCGCTGTACCGCTGTACCGCAGCACCTCTGCACGGTTGCTTGGGGATTGGGGAAACTGTCAACAACATCGGAGAATTTCAACAACAGTGGAGGTATTTTCAAAATACCTTTTATAAGACAACGCGAAGTGAAATGGGAGGAACTAGAGTTTATTTTGCCATAAGGTAGTATGATTATGCATGACACGAAGTATTTGCTAGTCTAGTACTGGAGAAATTAGCATTTGGATGCGCATTGTGAGCCTTTAAGTCTTGTAATAACGATTCGTGAATTAAAATTTTTTGTAAAGAACAATTTTACCGGAAAAAATGGCGTTCTTTAATAATGGATATAGTGTATTCCGTTGCTAAGTCGCCTCATAACGATTCATGAATTTAAAAAAAAAGAGAATTTTTACCGGTAAAATGCTAACTCGAATTGTTATCACCGTCCGATCGTGCATTCGTCAGTCTGCATGATAATAACAACCAATCAAACCTTCTCTCGCCCCCGTTTCTGCGCTCCCCCGACGCGCCCGCCCGTGTTGTTGCTGCCATCTTTTTTTTTATAATGACCTTTATTTCCAGAAATACATATATGTACAGAAAATACATTATACGTTTTACAAAATATCTGCACTCCTGTGATGGTAGCATAATTCACTGATGGTAGAAACTAGTTACAGGTACATGGCATAAACAGTTTGACAGAGAAGTACATAGGGCCTACATGAGCATACTAAATATGTCGTCGCCGCCATCTTTGTCGTCTGCTTTTCAGTTTCACGTCGAGCACGGGGAAGGGCTTCCAGGCTCACTTCCTCGGCAACTGCCTCGTGCTGAGCGCGGTCAAGGTCAAGGACAGCGTATTCCAGCACTGCGTCAAGTACGAGTTCGAGCCGCGCAAGGTGAGGCAGCGCCCCCTGGCTGTCTGCTACGCGTCACGCGCGAGCGAACGCTAGAGATGTGTGTGTGTGTGCGTGTGCATGCGTCCGTGCGTGTGTGTGTATATGTATGTGTCTATATATATATAAATAAATATATATATATACATACATGTACAAGTTTATAAGTGCACGCTGAATTTATGACTGAGACACTTTTTTAGATCTTCGAATAGCACTTTCTTACTAAGCAGCCGTTTTTAGAACGCCCCTATACCACAAACCCGATTTGCTAGAACCGCCCGTCTATCGCCCCCGGCGGATCTTTATGAGATTGTCACGTTGCCGCGGTTACGACTGTTTGTTTCAGTGGTACCATCTGTCGGTGGTCTACATCTACAATCGCTGGAGCAAGAACGAGGTAAAGTGCTTCGTTAACGGGCAGCTGGTGTCATACGCCGAGATCGCGTGGCAAGTCAGCTCCAGTCAGGTATGAAGCCATGTGTAACCCTTTCTCTACCCCTACCCTGCCCTGACCTCACCTCGCCCCGCCTTCCCCAGCTACCCCCCTTGACCTCACCTCGCCCTCGCCCTCACCTCGCCCTGCCCCCTCCCGCCCACGCTACCCCACCCACCCTCCACCTCGCCCTGGCCCACTCCCCGCCCCAGCTTTACCGCCACCTGACCCTCCCTCGCCCCGCCCTCACCGTCGGGCCCTTGCCCCTCGCCTCCCCCAGCTACCCCACTCCTGATCCGCTCAACCTCTATGCAGCGCTCGCCCCTTCCGCCAGCTACCCACCTGACCGCGTCACGTGGCGGCCCCGGCCCGTCGGCCGCCCTGCCCTCCTCCCCCAGCTACCCTGACCGCTGAGCCCTGCCCTGTCTCCTCGCCCCGCCTCACCAATCTCGTACGTCGATGAGAGTGTGCGCTGTGACGAGGTCCTCGGTTCTGTACGTGGTCAAGCTTGCGCCCAGCAGCGGCAGAGCACCTGAATGCCTCGAGCGAGAGTGGGAGCGTGCCGTGGATAGACTTGGCGTCACGTATCGCCCGCGTGTCCTGCGGCCAAACGATAATTAACACATTATGTTAGATTAAACGCATTGGTTAATAACAGTTGAGTTAATTGAGACGATTAGTTTATTAACGATTAGTTAGATTACGTTTGATTTATAAGCAATTAGGTTGAATTAACGATTAGGCTTAATTAACCAGCGACCGTGGATAGATGCGTCAGGCGATCTTCGCACGCGTGTCGGCTGACGTGGCAGTAGAGTCACGAGAACGCTCTGTTAATGTGTTAAGATGATAATCAGGTTGAAGTACTGATCTGTTAAATAATAGATTAACTTAACAATCGGTTGATTAACGCAGGGCATCCGCGTGGTATCGAGCTTGCCTCGGGATCGCCGCGGTCCTGCGGCAAGATCACAATGTAATGCCGTACGCAACACTAACGGCTCGTGCGATGCGCCGCGCGGCCGCACTGGGTTCGGTACGCGCCGTGCGTGCCGCTCGCCACGGTTATCGCTGACGCCGCGGCGCTGCTTACCTTGAGCCATCATGCGGCGTGCGGGAGTTTTGCTGCCAAGTGAGACGGAGGCGGTTCGAGGGGCGTCGCCTGCAGGCACGGGCCTGACCGTCGCGCACGGTTACCGGCGACCGATCGCGGCGCGCTTACTTGACCATCATGGCGGTGCGGGTTCGTGGCACGGGTAGACGGAGGGTTGCGGAGCGCGGGGATCGCGCTGCGGGCAGCAGCTGCCCGTCGACACAGGTATACCGCCAACGACGGCTTACCTTCACCATCATGGCGATTGCGGGTGTTGTGTAGGTAGACGGAGGGGTGTCGAGCGGGGCGTCGCCCTGCAGGCCACGTCCTGACCGTCGCCCACGTTCGCGACCGTCGCGTGCGCCGGTCTTACCTTGACCATCATTGCGCTCGCTGGCGGTTGTGATAGGTAGACGGGAGGTGGGCTTTCGAGCGGTTGGGCGTCGCACTGCTATGGCACGGCTGACCGGTCGCTACGGTACGCGGCACCGTCGCGGCCGCGCGGGCTTACCGGTTGGACCATCAGTGCGTGGCTGGTGTGATAGGTAGCACGGAGGGTGTTCGGAGCCGGTATGGCGTCGCTGCAGGCACAGGCTGGCCCGTCGCGAGTGAGGGGCTGTTGTACGCGCTAGACCTCGCTGTGGCGTCTCAGGCTTGCCATCGCTAGGACGTGCTACGCCGATCGGCTGTCGGCGGAGCTGCGCCGCAGTGTCGGCTTGGTCGAAGCGAAAGTGGTTCTGGGCGCGCGGAGAGGAGGTGAGAGTCACGGCGCGGGTGCGTCAGGGCGTGGGCAGTCGAAGCAGATAAGGTTGCAACAGGGTCGTGTCCTCGAAAGCGGTGAGTGCGACCACACACTATCGGCGGCACACACACCACGCACGACAGACTCGTCTACCCCCCACACACACTCCCTGCCCCACTCACAAGACACACATTGCACACAGCTTCATTCTACCCCCCACATCACACACCACCCTCCCCTTCACCTGCACACACACCCTCCCCCCCTCACACGACGCCACACATCATTCTACCCCCTACACTCGCCACCTCCCCATCCCCTACCACACACCCTCCCCCACTCACACACTTCCACCCCCTGCAGGCAAGGCAGGCGGAGGTGTAATCTGCTCTCCATGTATCCAGGTCCAGCTTGTGCATCTGGCGGAACACCTACTGGTCGGCGCGTTCACACTCTCCCCCGCCCTTTGCTCCCTCCCCCATGTGGACACACACTCCTTCCCTCGCACACACACACACTCCCCCCCCCTCACGCACTACACACACACTACCCCCCCCCCCCTCACACTCACACACACTCCCCCACACACACACTCCCCGCCCTCACAGCACACCACACACACTTCCCCTCACACACACCAACACACTCTCCCCCTACACACACACACACAACGCCCCCGTTCACACACACACCACGCATCCCTTCACCATGTAGTCCGCTGTTGGTCCCAGCTTGGCATGCGACCTGGTAGGCGTTTCAGACTGCCTCGTTTTGAACATGTTAGGTATCCTGTCTGATCACATGCTGCCGCGCGACGTCCTACCTTGCTACGCTCGGTCGAGCCGCGCGATGAAGAAAACACTTGTGAACACCTGAGGGGGAGGAAGCAGCGGATAAGCGCGGCACGTCAGCCGATTTACCAAGGGTTATGTAAGCACGCGGAGTGGAGAGAGAGGAGAGAAGCTGAGAGAGAGGAGAGGGAGGAGAGAGAAGAAAAGGGGCGCGACTGGAGATTGAAGACTGAGAGCGGAGAAGAGTAGGCAGCGAAGAGAGAGAGGACGAGACGAGATGAGAGCGAGACAGAGGAGCGAGAGGCAGAGACAGAGGAGAGAGCGACAGACGGAGATAGAGAGAGAGAGGAGAGAGCAGATGAGAAGAGCAGGACAGTGAGAGAGAGACGAGAGCAGAGAGAGGAGAGAGACTAGAGAGCAGAGACAGAAAGAACAAGAGAGAGATNCGCCTACCAGGTGTTCTCAATGCACAAGCTGGGACCCGGATACATGGTGAGGGTGCGTGGTGTGTGTGTGGGGGGGGGGAGTGTGTGTGGTGTGTGTGGAGGGGGGGAGAGTGTGTGTGGGGGGGGGTAGAGGAGTCTGTGTGCGTGTGTGTGTGCGCGCATGTGTGTGGCCACTCACCTTTCGAGCACAGACCTGTTGACCGCCACCGGTTGGTCACCTTCATCTCTTGACTGCACGCCTGACCACCGCCCGTACTCTCACTCTCTCTCTCTCTCACTCTCTCTCTCTCCGCGCGCAGAACCACTTTCGCTTCGACAGCGACAACTCGGCGCAGCTCGTCGACAGCGTGCGTAAGATCGTCTACGACGGCAAGCTGAGCGCGGCGATGGTCTGCGCGTACAACCCCCTCAACTACGGTTACCGCGACCGTCGCGGCGCGCTTACCTTGACCATCATGGCGTGCGGGTTGTGTAGGTAGACGGAGGGGTTCGAGCGGGGCGTCGCCTGCAGGCACAGCTGACCGTCGCCAGCGACGGTCAGCTGTGCCTGCAGGCGACGCCCCGCTCGAACCCCTCCGTCTACCTACACAACCCGCACGCCATGATGGTCAAGGTAAGCGCGCCGCGATGGTCGCGGTAACCGTGGCGACGGCATGCGCGCGTACGACCCATGCGGCTGCGGCGATCGCTGGTTAGTGTTGCGTACATTAATTGTGATCTTTGCGCAGGATACGCGGGCGATCCTGGAGCAGTCGATCCCCGGCATGCTGCGTTAATCAACCGATTGTTAATTAATCATTATTTAACAGATCAGTAATTAACTGATTATTATTTAACCATTAACGAGCGTCTCATGATCTCTGCCACGCAGGACACGCGGGCGATCATGACGCAGTCGATCCACGGTACGCTGTGTTAATTAACTAATCGCTAATTAACTAATCGTTAATTAACTAATTGTTAATTATCTTTGCGCAGGACACGCGGGCGATCGTGACGCAGTCTATCCACGGCACGCTCCACTCTCTCGGAGGCATTCAGGTGCTGCTGCCGCTGCTAGGTCAGCTTGACCACGTACAGGAACCGGACCTCGGTCAACAGGACTTCATCGACTATGAGATTGGGTGAGGGCGGGGCGAGGAGAGGGTCAGGGTCAGGGTGGGGTAGCTGGGGAGGGGCAGGGCGAGGTGAGGGCGGGCGAGGTGAGGGTCAGGGTGGGTAGCTGGGGGAGGGGCAGGGCGAGGTGAGGGTCAGGGTGTGGTAGCGTGGGGGAGGGCAGGGTGAGGT